AACAATAAAGCTATGAATATGATCTGAATTCTGTGTGGCCATTGCAGTGAATTCTCAAACTCAGTAGAGAAGTAGAGAGCACTGTGGGAGAGATGATTGGTGTTAGAAATGGTGAAGAATTTGCAATGAGAAAAGTTACCCTCACCTCACAGGACTCCACTGCCAATAGCTCCACAGGAGAGAGATGGGAAGTCTCCTTGTTTGCAGTTTACAGCCTTGGAAACTCAATGGAGGGTCAGCTGTGAGTTGGGTCCAACTATGAGTAATTTTTCTTTTAATAGTTACCCTTAGTACCAGTTTTCAAAATTCACATGAAAACACTGATGTTATCTTATAATTTTATCTTGTTATTTCGCAAAAAATAGTGATGTAAACCAGATTAACCTTATTACAGATAGGTTTTTCCTGGAGAAGGTGAAACCAAGTTGTTCCTGGGAGACAAGGATTTCGAAGCTCTGTCTCACACACTGTGGGCATGTGTCCAGGAGGGACCAGTCCTTAGGAAAGGACATCATTGTATAGTACAAAGGAGGAAGACCTTGGGTGAGATGAATTGTTGCAGTAACTGGGGTATTGAGAGTAGGTATGTCAGAGACAGCAAAACTGGCTTAGAATAGGACACGGTTCATAGCTGTTGTGCATAGGGTCACTATGATTTGCAGCCAACTCGATGACACATAACAACACAACATAACACATATGATTTTATTTTCCACAAAATCAAATAACCTTTACCTAATGAAAACTGGGTGTACTTCCCAAGAAGTCTTCCAGAAGTTGTGATTTGATAGTATCATCATTATAATGCATCTCCTACCAAAGGTAACATTTGAAGTAGGTGCTACTGATAAAGCTTATGTTTCTGGTTTACTAAACACCATCTACATTGCCTTGTAATGACTCTTCAATAAAACATCATTAGTCTCCCAATATTTTACAAATGGAAAAAATATAAACCAGAACGTATAGGAAAAGAAAATGAGTCATCAGGAGGTTTTGAATCCCCTACATCTGCGAAATAGACATTCTTCTGGTATTCTCTACTTTCAGCCAGGATCCATCTGACATCAGCAATGATATCACTTGGTGCCATGGCCTTTTCTAAATCCTGCCTAAACTTCTGATAGTTCCCTATCTAAGTACTGTTGTGGCAGTTTTTGAATGATCTTCAGCAGGATTTTGTTTGTATTTGATATTAGTGATATTGTGTGATAGTTT